GAGTGCAGAACAAGAAGTTATTGATCCAGTGAAAATAGAAATCACATTTGATTTATTAGAAAATGAATATTATCAATTTGAATGTAATAATAAACAAACACTAGCATTATGGATTAAAACATTATCTTCTTATTGTTGTGTTGCTGGAATTACTCATTATCCATTACACACTATTACATTTAAAAGTAATTATTGCATTCCATTAATCCTTGCTAAATGTTTTAAAACCATTGATGAATATCAATATCAACCTTCTTCTCCTTTACTTCAACCATTAAGTTTTGACCTTAACGAATTAAATGAACTTTGTGATATTAATTCAATCAAAACAATTGAACAAGCACATTTAATTATTCACCATTATATCACATCATTAAATCCACCATTAATTCCAAATTATCTTAATGACGGTATTTTAGATGCAATGAAAAAAGAAAGTACATTAAATCAAGTAGAGGTATTACAGAAAACTTTTCTTTCTTTAAAAGGAACAAAATGTATTTAAATATTTTTTATATCAAATTGAAAAGTAAAATAATGAATAATTAATACAAAATTGGAAAAGGTGGTAAAGAAAAGAATAAAAAGCGTTGAACCTATAAAAAAGAAATAAACCAATGTTCATCAAAACAATCAATCTTCTTCCATGTCATATTTTGTTTCACTACTATCATAAAATTCTTCATTGTTTTCGTCGTCATATTCAACAGAAATAGAATAGTCTCCATAAAATTCATCGTCTTCATCTTCAGAATATTCAGACGATGGAGTTGTTGGATAGCTATTGTTTGGATTCTTTTCATCATTTGAATCTTCAGGGTCATAACTATCACTACTTTGGTTTGTAAGATCTTCTTCATTAACAACAACAACTTGTGTTTTATATTCTGTTCCAATATGATCTGTTTGTTCATAAAATTCATAATAAACAAATTTCTGTGGTTTAACGTCATCAGCATCATCTACGATAATGACTTTTGATTTATCATGTTTTTTATTCATTGCATCACTCAAATCTTGAAACTTTTGTGTTTCTTTCTTTCTATGGATTAATATATTTCTTTCTGTAAAAAACAAAAGTGGTTCTAACAAACTGTTCAGTTACATCTAATACATCTCTTGGATCAAGATCTTGTCCATCAAAGTTGACCATTCTTTTGAAAACCATCATCTGAGAAGAAATTTTTCCTCTTTTTCTGACTCTTAACGCGATCATTTGGGGATTTTCTTTTTCACAGTCCTCAGCAACCTTCAGAACAGAAGGACAAAACCTTTTCATCTTAAAATGAAACCAAAATTATATTTTTTAGTAGTTTTTTTCGTGTCGAGTACATCA